CCTGCACTGCTCAGGCTCTGCCCGCACACCCTCAGCCCTGCCCACCAGGGCTCTGGTGAGCAGATCTCTGGGGAAATCACACATGCCCCTCACTCGTCCACCCATGCAGTCCAGCCCCGGCCCATGGACCCGGCTAGGCCAAACACTGGAACACGCACATGACTCTTCTGCAAGAAGCTTCCCTTTGGACCACTTTTCTCCTATTCCGGACAGGTTGCAGCAGGACTGATTTCTGCCCTCCTGCTCTCTGCAGTCTGGGAAACTCACATGGCAGAGCACTCAGGGGCTTGGCTTTCTAAAGAAGTAAAATCTACAAGGAAGAGAAATGCAAATGTCCAGATTGCCAAACACTGGATAAAGAGCATGTATTGGAAGTCCATACCCCACCTCCCAGCTATGCAACCTTGGGGCGAGTCATTTAATCTCTCTGGGCTTCAAATTCCACCTCTGAGAAGCATAATGCCAACATTTGCCCTTCGTTTTATCGATATGTTTTATAAACTGCATGGTTTATGGAGTGCCTGGGTGGTTCAGTAGGTTAAGTGTCGGGCTTCGGCTCAGGTCATGATTTCACGGTTCGTGAGTTCGAGCCCTGCGTCGGGCTCTGTGCTGACAGCTCAGAGCCTGGAGCCTGCTTCAGATTCTGTGTCTACCTCTCTCTCTCCGGCCCTCCCACACACATGCTCTCTCTCAAAAATAAATAAACGTTAAAAAAATTAAAAAAAAAAAGTTTCTGGGACATGGTGATTCAAGGGCCACTCATGGCAATGCTGACGGGCCAGAGATCTGCACACCAATCTCAAAAACCTCATGGCTTGCTCACTTTATGGCTAGTCCTTGGCAGACTCTTTCTCTTAGTTTGGCTTTCGCTCACCTCCTGTGAAGCCTGGGCCACTTCCCCACAATTTAGTCCAATAAAGCTTAAGGGAGGCAAATAAATTTTAGCGTGAGCCTAAAAAGTGCTTGCCTGAGAAGGGAAATGTGGAGTTGGGGCTGAGACAATTAAATGAAACAAACAGACAAACAAAACCCTCCCAATAATTGGATGAAGCACATTCTAAACACAGGTAGACAAGAAGCTGGGGGTTACACGAGCCATGAGCTGCTCTCCACTTCTCCCCAGTGGACACCGGCTCCCACCAAGCATCACGGGGTGCCTGGTTTAACTGGGTCACCCTGGCTTTCCTCTGCAAGGAGACCGGGGATTGCAGGTTGGCACTGGGAGCCCAGAGGGTGAGGTTATGGAATCTGAAAAGATGCTGATAGAGAGAAGGGTGGTAAACCCCACTACCACGAGTGATTACTGAAACCCCAACTGCTGAGAATGTAGTATCACACAGCTGCGGGGTCATCTGGGGGGAAAAAGCAAGGGCCAATTACTAAGCCCAAATTCCCTGAGGTCCTGACAAATTATACTCCCCAGAAAGTGCCACAATGGCAGGGTGGAAATCTGTTATGTAAGAGCAGAGGGAATGCTGTGTGGGGAACTCTCTCCCTGCGCTTCAGCCCTGCAGGGAGACCTGTCACTCCTCCTGACAGAAGGACGCACATGTGTGTGTGTGCCGGGAACGGGCAGGGGGTGTCTAGTGGTGCCTGCTCCCTGGGCACCTGGGGCAGGGTATGTCCAGGGAGCAGAGTGGGGTCACCTGGTGGCTACACTGCAAGACTCCTACCTGGTATGTAGTGGCTGTTATATGTAGGATGCGCCCTGGCCTCTCCTCCTTCTCTGCCCTCACTCACCACTGTGTTCACCAAACCAAATGGCCTCTGGTTCTCTCTGCTCACTGAGCTCCACGCATTCTCAGCACAGAGGCCTTCAGAGGGGCTGCCCCTGGCCACATGATCCCCCACTCTGGCTGCTTACTCATGCGAAGGTCAGAGTGCCCTGTTTATTTCCTGTGTTGCACTTTTTGAAATCTCAAATTATTTTCCTGGTTTACTTGTGACCGTCTCACCACCACATGGAAGCCCCCACGAGGGTCAGGCTTGGTGGGCCTCCATCACCTCTGGGCCGCAGCCTGGCGCCCGGTCAACCAACAGAGATTTAGTGATGACAGACGACGTGAAGATGGCCTTGCTAGGTCTGGGCAGTGTGTGGTTTAAGCATTCTCTTGGTACTCAAACCCAGAAAAGCAGCATTTTGGAGATGCCCATGAACAGACTCAGTGCAAACCTGTTTGCCCCCCAAATGGGAAGGCAGCCGAGCTGCGCTGCCCTGGGGCGGAGACGAGCAGCTGGCATCACTCTGGTACTTCAGCTGGATTTCCAAGGTCACCACCAAAACACATCTTCTGCTCAGAACTGACTATTCCAGGGGAATGGCTTTGGAGGAGTGTGGGACACGAGCAGTCCACAGAGCCAATGTGAGGTCAGAGTGACCAGCCTGAACAGGTGAAGGCGAGACAAGAGAGTGCCCCGGGGCCACTGTTCCACCCGGCTGTCTAGCAGCTGGCTCCAGCCGGATGGTTGGCAGTGCTCATGCTGACGAGCCCTTGGACGCCTCCCTGAAAACCGCTCATGCAGATCTAGCTTGAGGAAAGAGTGATTTCTGGTTTTTGGACATACCCTTCCCCACCGCCTTCCTCCGCACAGTCAGGCAAGGACTGCTTGCTTCAGGTGCCACATCGGCCCGCCCCTCTCCTGCTCACCTGTTCCCACAGCCCCACCCATCCTCCCCTCCAGTGCTGCCCAATTCCTGCTTTCTTCATCAGGATGCACCCGCTGGAGGCGGCCCCACCAGGCCCACCCCTCCACCTGGCATCCCTTCACGTGCACCCGGAATTCCTTTGCCTCTCTCTGCCTACCTAACCTCCTCGTCTAAGGCCCAGCTCGATGCTTCCAACTCCTTCAGGCAGCCTTCGCTGACTCCGCCAGTCCCTTAACACCCCCAGTGCTTTAGCTCTGCACCATGTAACACAGCCGCTGTGGGATGGCCAGCATGAGGGTGTCACCGTCAGCCGCTCCTCTTCCCTCAGCCTTGCTCAAAGCACGGGCCCCTGTGAGGGTACGGCCTCCGGATCACCAACAGGAACTTGACTCCAACTCTTTTCCTGTCACAGGCTGGGGCAAGAACAGCTACCCAAGCCAGGGCGCCAAAGGTGTGACTCTGGTCTGTAACATGGTTCCCAGCCTTCACTACTCTGCATAAGCTCCCTGCTTGCCCTGCCCACTTTGCAAACCACCAGGGCTGAGACAATCCTCAACACTACTGCGTGCAAGCCATTCTCTGGCCGGGAAGGGAAATGGAGGCCATCAGAGGAAAACTGCCCAGCTGTGGGCGTCAAGATCAATCTCCTAGTCCAGCAGTCTTCCTGGTGACCAGCATGTCCTGAGTACTTACTGGGTGCCAGGGCCTGTACTAAGCACAGAATTCCTTTCGAATCAACATACATCGACCCTATTGCTGTTGGTATAATTATCTCCACTTTAAAGGCAAGGAAACTGATGCTCAGGAGACCCAAGTACCTTTCCCAGACTCACCACTAGCAAGTAGCAAGTCAAGATGAAAACCAGGCTTGTCTAAGTTGAAGCCTCATTTTACATTGCTAGGCTGCCCTGCAATCCCATTCTCAAAACAATCTCTAGTCTGCAGTAAATAAAGCTGGGCTGAGGGGACCCGAGGCAGAATTAGGATGCTAGCTTTTGCTCCTGGATCTATGCTCTGTGGCCCTTTCCCTTGCAGAGAAAGTGGACGACCTGCATGCCAGAGATAATCTCAGACCAGCAGGGACTTCGGAATTGCTGATTAGGCTGACACAGCAGGAACGCACATGTGCTATGCTTAGGAAGAGAAGAGATGTCAGAGACCAAGGCTGTCTGACAGCTGGGACAGGACCTCATGCAGGCCAGTTACCACATGCAAACAGCAGCTGACTCATTGGAACCAAACACTTAAAAGGCTGTGGCAAAGCAAAGAGTGTTAGGTCACTTATCTGCAATGCAGACTACGATAAACCTGCCTTTCTAGAAACATCCTATCCTATCTTTATTGGGTTATCCCTTTTCTGGGGCAGTGTGGCAATCTGAATTAGCAATCAGGTGGTTTCTTAGTAAGAAGATAATCTAAGCAAAAAGACACAGAAGATACATAAGAGAAGTCCACTGAAGACTCTGTAAGCTCTGCAAAGCTGACCCAGCCTCACAATACAGTCCACCCCTTAAGTACCCAGAATGTCTACATCGATCAGAGAGTCTAAGCTTCATAAGGCAGGAACCTTATGAGTATGCACCAAACCAGCATGGGGCCTGGGATAAAGAAGGTATTCAAGAATTGTGAAATAAACGAATGAGTGAAAAATGAACACTGTGTGGATGTCTCCCTTATAAAAAGCCCACTTAGAACCAGTTATAACAATGTTCACGAGGAAACAGCTAAATAACAGAAGAGATACCACCTCAGTTTTAAAAAGAAATTCTAACTCACAAAATATATGGCTGAAGAATGCATCATCTGACAATACAAAACCATCACATGACACACAAATCTGAAAGCTTATCAGTTTGTCTTATTGATATATTTAGCAAATAATAAATAGTTATATTTACTAACTCCCCCTCCCCCCAAAAGCCCATGCAGTGTGTATCATTGCCCCCTTACACTCATGAGGAAACAAAGTGATTCGTATTTACATCACAAAGTTAGGGTGTATTCGATCTTCAACCTAGTATTCAGATTCTTGATTCTTTGTTTCTCCACTACACACACAGCTGCTAAGCAAGTAAACAGTTCACAGCCCTAAATGCTTTTGGGTACCTTACACACACACACACACACACACACACACCCCTCATAGCTCCTTTCTTTAAAACCTGCTCTCCACCAGCCACTGCCGAGGAGGCTAGTGAGGTAGCCATGTTTATACCTGTGACACTTCTGGACACAGCTTATTGGCCCAGGGCTAGCCACTTCATGGAAGGTCTGCTGATTGGCTGGTCAGGAACCAATCAGATTCACATTCAAACTTGAAAATTTGAACTCTGAGAACCAGAAGCCACCGTCAGTTGGTGGCAATTATCTCAACTGAAAAGCCATGCAGTCGGCCCTGACAGAACATAGCAGGTAAGTGGGCTGCTGTTTTAAGTGAACAGGAAGAGGATGGAGGTTGGTCTGCGGTGAGAAGATCACAGGGGGGCTTTAAATCTATATGGTATACCCAAAAGAGAGACAGATGAGAGGGGCTGATCTGGCTCCAGTGGACGCTGGTTCTCAGCTCCTGTGAGGCTCGGACGCCCTTCATATCCTTGGGTTTGGAGAGATTTCCCTGCATTCTTTCAGTAGTCTCTTGAGCAAGTCTGAGTGGATTTCTGTCCTCTGCTCACCACTCACTTGGGACCAAGGCATGGATTTTGGAGGGGACTGAGATGTGCCAAGTCCCCAAGGCTCAGTATTTTCACCTGTACAATTTCTCAGCTGGATGGACCAGCGGAGCTCAAAATGCCTTGTCGGCATCATTTGATGCTGGTCCTACAGCTATGTGCCCCTGAGGAAGGGGAAGGACTCCCAGGGTTATCATGCTGGTACAAGAAGGAAACAGAGACTCCGAGAAGGAAAGGTGAGGCAGGAAAACAACGAGCCATCTGTTGACTCATATCCTCACATCCTCCCCTGGCCCTTAGTCCCAAGGAGGAGGAAGTAATCCTGGCAAGTTGGAGACCAGCAACCAGAGCAACAGAGACCCTGCCATCACCACTCTACAAGGATTCAGACCAGATTGTACCTGCACAAAGGTGAAGCCAGTGTGGTCCTTGAGGCAGAAGAATGTCGTACAAAGGAAGCGTCTCAGATACTGCTGTGTATGTGAAGGGGGAAGAACTTCCCAAGGAAAAGACAACAGTGGCTGCTGCACACCTTGTTGGTGGTCAAACCAAGCAAAGCTGTTGAATCTTTCTGCGAGATATGTCCCTGTATATCAAAGGAGAAAGAGTCCTTTCTGGCTGGGCCCCAGGCCCACTGCTTGATCAAAAAGGCTTTCCCTGAAGGCACTCAGGTCCCACTCTGGGTGTCCTTGACTTTTGCCTGCCTACATTCCCTGGAATAGGTTTGTCCTCAGTGCTGTTGGTACACATCACCTTCCTCAGATCCTCTCAGCTGGCATGTGCCCTCAATTTCAAGGGAATGACTAACAACATGAGTTCCCATTACCTATGACCACCATGTTGGAAGATGGGACACAGAGTCCTCCTTCTTCAAAGATGCTTCAGGGAGACCTGTGGTCGTCTCAACCAGCCTGGGTCTCTTCCCAACCTGCAGCGCCACCAACTCCTGGTGATCCGACCCAGGATGGGCCGGTTCTCACCCTCCCCCTCTGTCCTCTGTAGAGGGCAGAGATCCCAGCTGCTGGACTCTAAGAAAATGACTTAACCTCTTAGCCTGTTACTTCAGCCACAAAATTGTTAAAGGGCCTTCTACCGCAGGGGGTAGATTCTGATTCTGGCAAAATGGTACTCATGAAATGGCACTTGGCATTTACTTTTTACTGACCCTGAATTGCCTTCCAGACACATCTCTCTTTAGACCAAGGAGACCACAGAGCCCTGGCACAGCCAGATCTCCAAACTGCCTGGTGGTTGTGTTCCCACAGGACCTGGATGAGAAGGCAGAGCAGAGGCTGGTGGACCCCGCTGTGAACACTCTACTTGGGGAACTTCTAGCCAAGAGAGAAGGGGACACAGGCAGAGTCCTGGCTTTTAGTGGGCAAGGAGAGGCCCTGAGCAGGGGCGGGGGCAGCAGGGAATGGCGCTAACTGAGGCTGCACCATTGGAGTGGAAATGCCTCAACACGCCCACCGTGTCCCAAGGTCAGAGGCATAACAACTGGGTCTTTGTTACAGAGTTCAAATGCCTCGCTCTCCACTCCTTCCAAAGCCAGCTTACAGGATGCACAACACACCTCCCCTCCCCCACCTCAGACACCCAGCTTCCCTGAACTGGGACACCACTGTCCCAAGGATCTGCAGTCTGGTCCTTCTGCTTTCTCCCCTCCATCCACATAGATTCTCTGGTTAAACTGGTTGTACACTCCAGGCCTCCTGCTTTCTGACAGCAATGGACAGTGTGGGTTTGCACAGCGGACACAGTACTCCAAGGTCTCTGTGCAGACATCTGCTGTGGAGCAGAGATCTCCACCAAAAGTAAAGATACAAAAGTCCTAGAGAAGTGGAAAAGCCACATTACGGGAGGCTCTCTCTACCTGACACCAAGAGTCTCCCAGGCAGAGTTCAGACTTGGGAGGTCATTGCTCTAGTTCCTGTTTCCAAACAGCCACCAAATTATCTCCATTTTACAGAAGGGATAACTGAGGCCCAGAGCGATTAAGGGCCCTGAAGCTACCCAGCCTCAGCCAGTGGAGGGCAGAATCCTGCTTCCTGGGCCAGTAGCTCTGAGGATGTGTGTGTCAGAATGGACTGCTCTGGGGAGTCAGGCTGCTGGAGACAGCCATTGGGGACCCCTCAGGAGAGGGAGGACGTGCCTCTATATGCTTTCCAGGTGTGCTACCCCCACCACGGCTAGCCAGGGCTTCTGAGTGTCCCTAGGGTCCCGAGTATGGGATGGGAAGAGAGGGAAGGACATCTGTCCCTGGGAAATCTGTCTCCAGTATGTGGACTTCCTTTTGTGTGGGGTCTTCCCCATCCTGGCCAGTGGCTGGTATGCAGAAACATGGGGGTTCACGCCTCCTGCTGGGCTATATAGCTGTGCTGGTGACACAAGGCAGGTGAAATGGCACAAGGGTCCCTAAGCCAGAACTCACTTTCTGAGCAGCCCTGACCCTATATGGAGAAGTGAGCCCGTCTCTCCCCTTGGAACAAGCTCCAAAACCTCTGTCTCAGCTGCTGCCTCCAATTCTACCATCAGAGATCCGTCCCTTTGGGTCTTGAGGTGCTCACGGGTCCCAGAGCCAGGCCCCTGTGACAATGCCAGCTTCCCTGGGGCAGCATGGGGAGTGGAGCTCGGTAGGTAGACCTGGTACTGTGACAAAGGCTGAAGACAAAACCCGTGCAGGAAAGAGACCAGTGTGGGCACCTGGGGTGAAAGGCTCAGGCCTTAAACTAGGGGTGTAGCTTCACGGGGTGGGGACTGCCATTGCCAACCACCTTGCCAACGATACCGGGCACAAGGACAAAGCCTCACCTCTGTGAAAGGTCTGTGAAGACCCCAGACCCAGGAGGGCCAGGAGTCAGACCTGGCTAACATCACAGCTGTTTTCAGGGAGCACAGTTCCTGAGCCTCCTGCAGCAGGAAGCTGAGCTCCCCTCCTCCAGAAGGCCTGCTGGGATTTCCTCAGCATCTCTACAGCTCATTGCTGCCCACAGGCATAGTAATCAGGGGCCCAGGAATGTCCCCATTCTGTTCTGCTTTGCCCTGAGGTCCCTAACTCACTTCCCCACAGTCCATCTGTGCCTGTTACTCTGTCTATAGAATGAGTACAGTCACCTTTTGGTCTACCCTCCTTTCAGGGTTCAAAATACTGGAAGGGAACAGAGTAGAACAGGAAAAAGAAAACAGGCTCCTCCCCTCTGGGAGTGTCCAAATACAGCCCAAAGAGGATCCTGTGCAAGGGACCTTCCCCTGCAGCTAACTGAAACCAAAACAAAACGTCCTAGGAACCAATTCAAGCCCTAGCAGGATATGGGGAAACTGGTAATGGATGTCCCGACCGTGCCCCTCAGACAGGCGCGGGCTCTCCTTTTTCCACCTGCAGAGGGGTCTGCTGCCAATGGCACCAAAGCACTTGTGGTCACCTGGTGAGATGCACGCAACCAGCAGCCCCGGATAGACATGGGCAGGGCCCGGACGAGACAAAGCCTCGGCTTGCAATGACAGGCGACTGGTGTAGGGCCCTCCTTGGCTCCTTTATCCCCCTGCCTGGGCCCTCTTCCCAGGTCCTGGCAGCCTTCAGCTCTGCAGGGGGCAGTCAGCTCCCCCGCCCAGACACTAGCCAACCGCCACAGGCCTGGCCTTTCCTCAGACAATCCGCCAGGGGCCCAAGAACCCTGGCCCCCACAGTGACGTCATGGCCTGCCTTCCCCACCAGCGAGTCAGTTTCTCTCGCCCCTGCCTGGACCCTGGCTTGGAAGATGGCGCCAACAGGGGAAGCCGCCCGAAGGTGCCCCTGAGCTGGGAGCCACCTTCCCTGTGGCCTCAGTGGGCACGGGGACCCTGAACAGGGGCTAGGAGCCTTGTGCTGGCGGCTGCCACCCTGGCCTTGCATGCACACAAGCCGGTTAATTTCCCCGAGCTGGGGAGACATTCTTCCACCACCAGGCAAAGTGCTGGCCTGCAGCCCAAACCAACAGGGGAAACTTCAGCCTCCTCGGCCCTCTCCCCACCAGATGGAAATAACGTACAGCTGCAGAGGTGGGGGAGGAGGTAGGGAACAAAACCAGCCAAGCGTCCGTCCGTCTGTCCCGGGAGCCAGCCTGGCCGTCTGGGCACTCACCACTCTCGTTCTTCTCGATGACATCCACCACCTCCCCGGCCTGGAGGCTCAGCTCCGAGTTCTCCTGCTTCTTATAGTTGGACACCACCACGTACTGTTCCAGGATCATGGGCTCGGCGTTGGTGTCGGCACCTGGCGAGGGCAGAAAGCACGCGGTGAGCCAGCGGCCGGCCATGGCCCCGCGGCCGGGGCGCCCCCTGTCCATCGGCCTCGGGGGAGGCTGCTCCGTCGCCAGTGCCGCTGCCACTCCGAGGGGCCGCCTGCAGCCAGGGCTCGCAGCTCTCCGGGCCCCAAGGACAGGCCATATAGCAAGGCCCCACACCGGCCCGCTGTGCCGCGGGGACCGGGGGACATGGGGAGCCGGGCCGGAGTGGGGGGGACAGCCGGGGACGAGCGGGGGGGCCCAGGCAACTCAGAGGAAGAGCCTGCCGCTGCGATGAGTCAGTCACAGCCCGGCACAAGTGAGCAGGAGAGGCCTGGTGCGGACGTGGTCTCCCCAGACCCCTCGGCCGGCAGGGGCGGGACGGGAGGGCCGCCCATGAGGGCTGAGGCCGAGCGGAGGAGAGAGAGAAAGGCAAGGCAAGGAGGAGAGCTTGTGCCTCTCCCCCAGCCCCTGTGAACCCAGAGAAAAGGAGGCAGCAGTCCTCCCCTCGGGAGGGAGAGGAGCGAGCAGGAGAGAAGTCTCCACAGCCCGGGCCCAGGCGAGAAGTCAAGAGGGTTTGAGGCCGCCAATCACTGGGGTTTACTCGCAACCCTTAAATAGAAACACATGAGACCCATCGAATGAGGAGCCAGGGGTGGAGGCAGGGGAGGGGGAGGAGGGCCGAGACTGTTTACTTGAAATCCAAGAAGAAAGTCCCAGCGCCAGCAGCCGGTGAGCCCAGCCCGCCCCCTGCCAGCTTTTCCTCAAGTTCGGCTCCATCTGCCCCTCGGCTCACCAAGGCGCTGCCTCCGAGCCCAAGGGCCTGGTGCTGACAGACCAATCTTAGGCGCGCTTCACCCTGGCCTGGCTGCTGCTGCCCTCCGGCCACATGGAGGCTGATTCAGTTTCCCTCTGCCTTTGAGTGCTGGACCTTGTGGTCAGGCTCCAGGGAGTCTCCCGCCACCCTCTCTGGCAGCTGAGGGGTCGAAAGGCGGGGCTCTGCAAACGGAGGGCAGGTGGGCTGGGGGCTCCCAGGAGCAGGCAACTTCTCTGACCTCCTCAGCCAGTGGACCAGTGCAGTATTCATTAAGCCAGCCCCAGCCTGAAAGGTGGACAGACTGGGTGCCCATCTTGGCTTACTGGGTGTGGCATGGGACATGCCGCTTAACCTCTCCATGTCTCACTATTTCCATCACCACCACTAGAGTGGAACGCAGACAAAACCCCTAAAACAGGACGTGCCCTGCCAGGAGCTGAAAGAATCCACAAACCAGAGACCTACTGGTCACCTCCTACAGGAAGCCTTCCCAGACCACACCCGGCCCAAAGGGAATGCCTAGCACACTTAAACTATGTGTCTACCATCCTATATATCTGCCAATCTCTTGAAAGGCTTGGGGAATTCACACCACTTGCGTGGCCACAGAAATGGTTGACAGGGTCCCTCGGGTCCGTATGGCCCTCTTGATGCTTAAGCCTACAGCCACATTCCTTACACACCTGAGTCTAACTCAGCAAATGTTCTGTGTCAGGCATGTACTCTGTCGCATTTTATCCTTTTCACCTTCCCATTTCACAAAAGATGACCCAGTGGCCCAGAGAGGCCAGGACGCTTGCCTTAGCGCACACAGCTGCCATGGAGAGAACCAAACAGGGTTTCAGGTTCAAGCCCATATCTCTTTCCATTACAGAACTGCCTCTGATTTCCATTTCTAGACACCCATTCTTCTAGCACAATGGTCCTGAACAAAGCTCCACAAGATTGCCTGGGGAGCTTTTAAAGAATACTGATGCCTGGGTCTCCCAGAGGTCCAGCTTCAACTGGTCTGGGGTATTTTTGAGACACCCTCTCCTCTCCCATGGCTCCCATGCGCGGCCAGGGGAGGGAATCACTGCTTGGATCTTTGGGTCTTTCTTTGAGGAAGGTCCCATCCAACCCAGGGCAAGGAGCAGTGGAAGGAAGGAAACCCACTACCCCTGATGGTTTCCTCCCACAGGGTGTGGGCCCTTCAGACCCAGCTCAGCCCTTTGGAGACCAGGAAGGGACCCTGTCCCTGCCGACTCCTGCCACATGGATGCGGACATGCACAGCCCACGCTGCTCCACTAAAGCCAGGATTGGATTTCAGGCAGAAAGGCAACCAACAGCAGGCAGCAGGGCCAGCCCACCCTGCACTCAGATGGGGCCTGCCCCTGCCCACCATCCATGGTGCTGATGGAGGTGAACCCCCCCTGGGGGGACGCCAGTGCCCCTGTGGCCAAGAGCTCTTCTTCAGTGCACCCAATACAAAAAGGGCCAGCCTCTGTCCTGTAAGATATGGGGGCTCCCTTTCTAGTTTGTGGGAATGGAAAACTCCTGACACAAACAGAAAATGAGGAGTTCCCAGAGGCTTAGAGAGCTTCCAAATTCCAAGAGCCCACATTACACTGACAATTAACAGCA